CATAATTCATGTATCCAGAACTGACATGATATCCAAGGAATTCACTTGTTTTCAAGCTGTACAGGTAGTAAAACATCTGGAATGAAAGAACATCGAATCATATTCCAATAAAAACTTGATGAATAAGCATTTGGTTGGTCTAGGCCAACTGCACTCGCGTTAGTTTGCATTCTCCAAAACCGAGCCGCGTAGGAAAAGGTAGTGCGAGATCCTGTTAAGTACCACCAAGTAAGATAGCCAACAGTGTACAAAGTAAGTCTTTAAAAGGTGTGGGGGGTTCCCTGTTATATGACATTATGTAGTGCATTCCTGAGCGAGTGTTATATCCGTGTGAGGCGCGTGCCCGGGCCAGTCAATACATAAGCAGACGATTTGACGCTAGGTTTTTAGCTGTTCTATAGTACTAGTCAGGTAGTTTAGTCCAGTTCGGTTCCAAGCAATGGCTGCCACTCCTGACGAGGAGCGCAAGATAAATCTGAGGAGTCTCTGAAATGATTCGGGACAGGAAAATAAGAAGACAATTTAATTAGTGAATACTGTTCAATGTTTGGATCATTCTCTGATTCTCCACCATTTTGAAATGTTAAAGGCCTGAGAAGTGAACTACAAGCTGTTAAATAATGCAAGGTACAATATCTTCAGTCTGCATTGTATTGAGGTTTTAGAAAGTATAAAATGAAATACTGAAGTGGAGTACATGTACTCCGAAAACTGTACTTAAGTACAGAACTTGAGTTATTTAGTTACTTTCCACCACTGTCACAATCAGCGATGTTAGCCAAGGAGAACACATCTCCTTGTTCAGAAGGACATTTGTCAGTTCAGGGTACCTGGGTTTGGAATCACAGGTACAACTTGAAAAACAGGTTAAAACCCTTTTTATCGTGCAGCAGACTGAATATTTTTTCATCCAGATGATAGGAAAAGACTTGTCAACTGTTTAACAGTGGTAAGTGTTTGTTAAATGACATTGCCTGAAAGATCGCCTTGGGTATTTATTCTTCAGAAAAAGGATGCTTATAGTTCTGTGACTGAAATGTAATGGTAAGATAAGAGAAGCACAAACTGGAGAAGCATGATTACCTTTGAGCTTTCTGCTACGGAGAACTTGCGAAATCTCCCTCTAATCAGAATATTTACTAAGTTTGGTAATGGAGTGGTTTTCTGTTTGTGTGTGGAAAAGATGAGAGAGGGCAAGTAGAGTTTGTGAGCTTTTTTTTTTTTTTTCAGCAGTGCCCTAGAAACAGGCAGAGTCACAGTCTACAGATGTTTGTATGACGGAGGGCTGTTGCTGAGGCCTGCGCTGTGGATCTGCCGGCACAGCAAGTGCATTATTCATTTGTAGTATGATTCATGAAGATTTGCAACAGCTTACAACAGTTAAGTATTAATAAAGGGAGGGCTTGAAATGTGCAACAAAGGTAAAATGTCACGACTCACCAAGGCATGACACGGTGACGTATTAATCCTGTGGATCAGTGGTTTTATTACTGAGAAGTTTGAAGTGATTTTAATTCAGCGATATCCCTACTTTAGAAGCTTCTCATCTTTGAGCTTATGTCATCCTGAGTTAAGAGGGGAAATCCTTGGGATCAAAGTCTGCAGCAGACACACCCTAATGCGTCTAATGCCAACCTACTCCACACGCACACACGCACATGCACACGCATGCACGCACATGCACGCACACACACAACTAAGTGAACTTCACACTTTCCATGCAGAATAAGCAGAAATGTTGATAGCTTATCTCTATGTCTTATGTAACACTGAAGTAGTTTTATATATTTAATATGATTAATGTCCTTTATGACCAGCAGATTGCAGATTTTTCCTCTAATGTGGTCCCATTATTAAACAATAAACATTGTATTACAAGAACTTGGGCCCTAATGGTCACTCTTTAATGATTTTATGGCTGTTGTGTAGGGGCCCATTAAGTAAACAAAATGGAGTATAGCATACGGCAGAAACACTTTTCATACTAGCTCTGAAGTAGACGGAAGCATAATAAAACTTTTTTTTTTATTTTTGTGATGTGGTTTTGAATTCATGGTCTGAACAAGGTTAACATTGCATATTATCCCTCAAATATAATGTAGGCCCGCTCTGGGCCAATCAGTAACCAATAACACTTGCAGTTATAGTGCTAATATTCAGTGTGACTTTTTAAAAATGCATAAAGGCAAATGTGAGATACACCAATTCTCAGAATTTCACCTAAATTTAAATGAGAAAGATTTGCTGTCAGATGTGTTGGGTTGAAATCTTGTATAGTACAAGTACGAAGTAGCATAAAGTAAAAACACTCAAATAAAGTAAAGTGCTTGAGTCAATTTTCACCATTGGATCTTAAGTTTATTGTGAACCCTCGATGGAGAGGCAGAAAGTTGAGCAAGAAAGAGAGGAAATGTGTAAGTGGTATGTAAGTGTCACTTGGCGGTCTGATTGATCGCCTCGCTGATGAAAACATTTTCCCCACATGGACACAGACCCTGATTAGGACCAGTTTTTTCTGCTGCCTCTGTGGTGACTGATGAACACACAGTGACACTGAGCCAGCACCACCCTGCTCCTCAACAGCAGAGGAAATGGTCACATCCAGGAAGGACGTGGAGGCTTGATGGGAAGCGATGATAGAGTTCCCCTTGCATACGTACCAGTCATCATTACGGGAATTACACTTCATCGACAGACTGCCCTCAGTCTGAATCCACTGCCTGCTCTCTGCTGTCTCTGCACTAACAAATGAGCCAACTTCACAGGCCTGGTCCAGTGGAAATTTCTATTGATTTGATCCCTGCTCCTAGTTTCCATTAGTGTGAAAAAAGGCACTGCAGAGAAACCACTCAGACCAGTCCAGCAGGTGTGTGGGTGTGTGTTGTTGTCACGTCAGTGTTCAGGTATGCTGGCATACCTGGTTCATCTACATAATGTGACTGTACAGGTGGACCTTGTTCTCTGCCATGTTGTTCTGACTGGCAGTTATTTTCTTAGCTACACCTCTTTTCTTTTAAACGTATCAGCTGTGTGAGTGTGTGTAAGTGTCTGTTGGGGTGTGTGTGTGTGTTGGTGTGTGCCTGTGTGTGTGTGTGTGTGTGTGTGGTGAGAATGGATGAAATGCCACCCAAAGAAGACATGACAATATTATGGATGGTGCTGTTAATGATGAAATCTCTTGTTTTGTCTGACCAACAGTCCAGAAGTGAAGATACAAGATATTAATTTAAAATGATATAAAAGACAAGAAAGTAGCAAATCCTCACACTTTAAAAGCTGTAAACTTGAGCACTTTATTTTTGATAAAAATAGTTACTAATTTGATTAAATGACTTTGAATTATTGTGAGTTGTCAGATTTACAGTGCAGTCCATAAGTATTTGGACAGATGCACATTTTTTGTTGTTGTTTTGGCTCCATACTCCGGCATGTTGGTATTGTATAACAAAATAGCTATTAGGATAAACGAACAAACACCAACTAACCAGAAACAGTCAAATTGTAAAAAAAAAAAAAAAATCCTAATACATACATTTTGCTTTAAGCTGTTTTTGCCACCCAAAATAAATTAGCTCTCACTCATTTATGGATGTATATGCAGTTTTTTGGCTCATATGTGATACAGATAAGTAGTTACTGTCTGTATTTTATCTTCAGTTTATTATCATTTAAGCCACATTTGACTTGCTGGAAACATGGGTTATTTAACTAGAGGTCGCAGATTGCAACTAACTGAACATTGCTTGCGTGTAAATATAAACTAGTCTTATGATTTTGCTTTGATGTAACTGATGTTCGTCTCCTCAGAGAGAGTTTTGAAAATGTTCTCTGTCCACATTTCAGAGAGCGTGTTGTGTGTGTGTGCAGGCTTTATGCATGACACGCAGTACAAAAGTTAGTCTTGTACAAGATACGGCACAGTACCTTGCAATCCTGTGCAACATCAGTGCTGCATTATGAATATATGATCCCAGCCACATGGGAGGGAGATGAGGCCATACAGTTAAACTATTAATAACTGCACATTGAATGAAGCCTTTGCTGCTGCTGCTGCTGCTCTGTTCTGTTGCAGCACTTTGCACTGCAGCTCACATCTGTTATCGCACTGAGCAGCAGGCCTTTCTGGTGGAGGAGCCCTGCTGGCTGTAATCTCAATGGCCTGGCAAATGGAGTTATGCTAATGTGTCTCCACTCCTCCAGAAGGTGAGTGGAGTGTGGCATGGTGTTGTTTATTCACGGCCATGACTTCGCCACGGTCCAGAGAAAGGGCAGCTCTAACGGTTCATGAACTTGTGCTCAGAACACCAGTTCAGAATATGTGTGTTGTCATGTCACGCCCTCTCTGCACATGCTCCTTTTGTGAGGCCTCTCCCATTTCTGTTAAAGGTCCAGTGTGTAACTTTTAGGAGGCTCTGTTGGCAGAAATGGAATATGATTTTTATAAGATGTTTTCATTAGTGTATAATCACCTTGATATAGGTATTGTTGTGTTTTCATTACCCTGGAATGAGCTGTGTTTATCTGCAGACATAAAACAAATAAAAGCAGCAAATACTCAAATTTGAGAAGCTGGAACCAGGAAATGTTTTGATACTTTTGTTTAAAAAAAAATACATTTGATGAATCATTTGCTGATGAATTTTCTGGCAACCTTCTAAATAAACGATCAATCGACTAACTATGGCCGACTTCATCACGTTTTTATGAGGAGATTTGAGCTGCTCTTTAATATTTAGTTTTTATGCTTTTTGTTTTCCTACAGATGTCCGTACCTTGCTGTGCATCTGTCTCCTGCCATCCCAGTTTTCGCTGCCCTGCTCTTCCTCTTCGTCATGGCCATGTTACTGAGGACCAGCTTCAGTGACCCTGGGGTGCTGCCACGGGCCCTTCCAGAGGAGGCTACATTCATCGAGATGGAAATTGGTGAGTTACTGGAATGGTTTAATGGTTTTATTAAGTTTTAAGCACTTATTTTCTTTTTTTCTCTATAATATTAAATATTCATAATTAAATAAGCATAATCAAATTTAGAAAGAAATCTTTAGGTATTATCTATTATCTAAAAACTGAGCTAGTAGTTTAATCAGGACTGTATGGGTGTGGTTATTTTATTGACGATGACCAAACTGTTATCAGATTCTGATGTTGCTAAATCCTGATTGGTGCAAAAGTATGTTATGTCTTTTTCCAATGGCGCTCCACCCATGTCAAACCAGTTGGAAAGGTTCTCTACCTACAGTCCCCCTTGGCAGCTTATTGTTTAGCTGTTTGGACGCAACTCTACTGTTTTGGTTCACTCTCTCTAAGGCAGCTGCTCAGAATCAAACAGACACAGTTGGTGACTAACTGGTGAACATAGTGGAGCATTGAGCAGCTAAAGAGGCAGGTATTTCCCTCAGGAGTTGGTAGAGACCAAAAACTGAGCAAAAAAGAGGGTGAATGTTGGTCTTTGGTTTATTCATTAGAAACACAACTCTGAATTAATGATAACGTTTCTCTGTGACTGCTGGACGCATAAATAAACAACAGTTTGCTACAAAATTGAAATTGTCTTGACTTTCACCAAATTGCCCCAAAAAATCTGTTATTGCAAATTTAAAGTCCAGTTTTTAACATTTAGTAGGATATATTAATACAAGTGGAATATTATATTCACAGGTATGTTTTCATCAGTGTATAATCAGCTGAAAATAAGAATCGTTGTGTTTTTGTTACCTCAGAATGAGCTGTTTATATCCACACATATCCACGGGTCGCCTTCCACGGAGGGTGCCATGTTGAATCGCCATGTTTC